AGGGAATGAGACAGCTGAAGTGACAGGAGAAGAGAGAGAAGAGGAGCATGAGATACGGACTTCACAGCCTAGGAGGTAAGTGCTCACAGTATTGGATTCACAGCTGCCACTAGCAGGACAGGAACTGAAGAGATGCCATTCTATCTGTCCCTAATGGCTAGACAAGTTTCACTAGACTAGTGAGAACAGAATCCAAATCAAGTGGTGCAAGAATCAGAGAAGGAGAGGTAACACTCGAATGCAAGGTACTCTTTCAAGGTCTGCAACTTCAAGAAGAGACACAGAGGACTTAAGACGAAAGTAGGACCAGCCAACCAGGACTGTTTCAAGATGGAGGACACAAGAGCATGCTTATTGGCTAGAAGAGAAGAAAGTAAAGCATATTTAAAAGGAGACAAGGAATTGATTCATAACTTGAGGAGAAAAAAGGATATCTCTTCTTCTGGGAGGGGGTAGGCAGAGAGAGGAAGAAAATGAGAAGTGGTATGAAGTTTTGAAGAGAGGAAAGCGGAGGGTGTTCCCATATTTTAGCTCCATCCTCTGCGTGGGGGAAGACAGGGCTCCAGGACAGTGATAAACATCTCGAACTTGCCTGGGAAAGGTCTGCTGTGCAGAGTGGAGGGACCACCTGAGGCTGGCAACTAATAAATGGTGGGATTATCTCCAGAAGGGGCTTCCTAGGAGTAGGGGATGAGAAATGGTGGTTTAGGATTAGGGACTGGGTGGGCAGGTATACCAGGAGGTCACTATGAAAAGAAAATTGAGTGCCAGGGACGGTGTAGTGGAAATGACTCACTAGGGCCTCCGGGCAGGGTAGGTAGGAAAGAGCCAGGAGGACAGGAAGGACATCCAAGGAGAGGAGACTTTAATGAGCTGATGGTGTGTTCAGTGAGAATGCTGTCAGAGAGTGAGATTGTAAAGTTCCAGTTTTCAGTTGGCCTTCTGGGACCTTACTTTCTGCTGGGTCAAAGTAAGGTCTTGGTGGTGCGTAAGGCCTGAGTGAACAGTGCAAGTCTCAAAAGGAGAGACCAAACAACAGCCATTAGAGACAGGAGAAAAAATAAGGATTATTTATTTATCAATTTACTTACTTTTAGTTTTTGACCGCTACTACCCAACCGCCTATTGAACATCTCCTCTGGGATATATTTCTGGATCATCCTCTCCTAAATGAACATACCTTTCCCAGCCCCTGTAATTTAAATTTACTCTCCTTCTTCCACTTTAAAAAAAATCTAGACAGTAGCATTACTGTTCACCCAGGCAGCTATTCTTAAAAAAGAAAGAAAGAAAAGTCATCTTCACTATTCTTTTTGATTTCCTTTGCTCTCTACCCAAACTGCTTCCTTTCTGAATTTGAAAGCTCCCAATGTGCTCTCATCCTCCCTCCAATAAAAGACAGGAATAAAGAACTGCCTCTAGAGTCACACAGACCTGAGTTTGAATCCCATCTTGACCATTTCTCCCTTGAATAACCCACGACACATAAATGCCCTAAAACTTACTTTCTCCTTCTGCAAAATGGTTGTATTACTAGTACTAATCACATGGAGTTATTATGGTTTTAATGAGGTATAAGGGAATTAGTACAGGTGAAAGCCTGAGCATGGTATTTGGTACACAATAGTGGACTTAAAAGATCTGAAGACCATTAATTTTGGAATTCCTTTTCTCTTCTGATTTCATGCTGCCTGCAAAGCCTGTGACTGTATTTCCCAATTTTTGTATTTATCATGGACAAATTTCTTAAATTTTTATGAATGATTTATTACAAATATTCAAGTTATTTTGATTATTTGATTTTATAAATCAAGGTAGTAATACTCATTTTGACTTACAAATCAAGTGATTTTTCTCATTGTATTTTTTTTACACACTTTGAATCACATCCTTTAGACAATAAACACTGACAGGTTAGCTTTTTGCCATTTGTAAATTTTTTAATCAAAAATTTTCTAATTCTAATATGTAAATAAAATGAAGTCACCAAGAAATTTTTCAACACACCTTCATTTCTTTAAAAAAACACCATTAAATTTTAAGCAAAAGATCCTGGCCAATATGGTGTTAACTGGAATATATTCACACTTAAAATGGCTTATAATTTGTTATAAAATTTTGTAGAATGGAAATATACATTATTATATAAATAGCCGGGTTTTGCACATGGAGGAAAACAAACTGCTAGAGTGGTTGTTGGCCCCTGGGTTTTAATAGCCTCCCCCATCCCACCTGTCAAACCAACATTCACATTCTCTTCTTACTAATCCCTTCTTAAAGCTAAATTCAACTCCCCCTTATCCAGGGCAAAGGTTCAGAGTGAGAGGGAAAATAAGGACATTACTAACCCTGACTATTAAACTGAAACACTATTCCAGTGCCTGCTATCTGCTATGCCATCACTCTCAGCATCTCTTCCTTGTTTCCCTTCCTAGTCTTCTCTAACCATTACCACTGACCTTGAACACTTACATTAACAAACGCATCTATGTGACCGTGGAAATGTTCCATTGTGATGGCAGCAGGTAAACGGAAGCATGGCTTCTATGGTTACTTTGCCAAAAATTGTTAAGTTATCAAAAATTCAATACCAATTTTGTTCCATGAAGAGAGTCAATCGCAAGAGTCAGGTTAGGATTAAGATTAAACTTTAACAGTAGATAGCTGGTAGTAGATTCCAACTTTTAATTAGGGTTCCTTTTAAGGAAGGAATCTATTAGGGATAGTCAGAGGAAAAGATTAAGAAATAAATGGCCATGTCTTTTATCCTCCCCAAATCTCCTAGATTCTACCCAGATGTGTGTGTAATGCCATGCTTTGTCTATTTACCATAAATGAACTAAATATCCATTATAGAAGCCAGAAACTTGCTGTGCCATATATTCCAGAAAATATATTCTCGTTGCACACTCGAACGAGAATTAGGAAGATAAATGTTTCCAAAACTTAAACCAGAACATATATGAGTCAACACACATACACACACACACACACACACACACAGAGAAAAGGGACAAAAGTTACTCTGTAAAAAAAAAAAAAGCCAGTTTAAAAAGAGATAAGAAAAAAAAATGTTTGCTTGAGCAATCACACAGTTTCTCATATCAAACAGAACCTCAAAATAGATGGGAACGCGTCTCTCTACGCTAGCTCCTGATTCTGGTGTATCCCATAAGAGAAGTGGAATTATGGCTCAGCCTCAAAACCCTGGGCCCTCGTTTCCCAGCGGCCTAAATCAATCCCCGGTCCAGGACAAGATGCTGTGTGAGATGCGTAATTATTTCAGGCCACTAGGGTAAGCACTATTCCTGGCAACTCTGCGGGCAGTGCCATGCATGAGGGTTTCTAATTCTCTTTGGTGATTTGGTTCTATGTAAACCGAGATTTTTCTTTCAGTCTTTCAGCCAGATAAGCAGGAAAGGCCAACTCCAGTCCTGAGATAGAGACAATCAAGGTCAATTTCAGTTCCTTTTCAGTGCAGATTAGTCTACTTTTTCCCTGCTGCCTTCCTGACACCTGTCCTTGTATTTTTATCTGATTATCAAATACCTAGTGAGAGAACCTTTGATGGCTTCTGATGCTCGCCCAGTCTTCCACAGGCCTCTCAGGCTAAGAAATACAGGAACACCCAGCAAAGCAGTTTTCTTGAAAGACTAACCTAAGATCTTTGGCTGTGAACTTGTAAGAAGTATCTCCCACGGGTATTTTGAGGGTGACGTTGACACTAATACTTGCTCTTACCAGAGGCAATAATGATTCAACTTGCCTATTACCAAATCTCTTAATTTTTGGCTTGGCACTGCACATACAATATACTCAGTTATTACCTCACATAGAAAGGGAAAGACAAATCTTGTCATTCCCATTTGGGAGATGGTGAAATCGAGGTTTAGAAGTTTAGAAGACTTGTTTAAAGTGAATTCAACAAAGCAGAGTTGTAGCAAGAAAGTACTGTAGATCAGCTGACACTTGTCCCTGGTTTTGTAGGTCACAGACTCTTTGCAAGTTTAGAGCAGTGTTTTACTTACCATATTCCTCCTTGAAAACTTCTATTTACTTTCCTAAACGGTGAATACCAGTGGAGAGGTGTCGGGTGTACATTCCCGACACTTACACAACATACACAGACTGAGCCGTCTGTCTGCTGGGTACACAGCTCCAGGCTGAAGAACCTCTAAGGTTGTTCAGACGAACAAATGAAGCACGAGGGGGAGCAGGTTCTAATGTAAAAGTAATATCCTATACCCTTGAAAAGACAGATTAAAAACATCCTCATTATCACAAACAAAAAAACTAACCAACTTATTCTGTGCTTTCTTCAAACTGCATCGCTCCCCTCCCCAGTAGCTTCATTAAATAAATGCAAACACATGTGCTCTGAAATGAAGTAGGTGTAAAAGAACATTCTGCACAATTATATCTAGGCTGCCGCAGATTTATAGCACATGCATGCATATATCTGGGGCTATTAACTCATGACGACAGCTGAACATGACAAATGCAACAGTACAGAAGTTGGAATGCCGAAAAAATGCAACTACAAACCCCATGCAGACAAACACGCACACAATGAGTTTTCCCTCCACACACACACACACACACGTGGCGGCACTTACAGGAGCTCAACCACACTGAAAAAGCCCAAACACAAACACAGGAGGCTCCGGCGCCCGCGAGCGGCCCCCACACAGGCGGCCGCGCCTTCATCTACAGGCAGGGATTGTCGCGCGGCCCAGGGTACACTCGCCTCCCACTGGCATCCCACTGCGCGAACACATGCGCGCCAACCGGCGCCCGCCCGCCCGCCGGGAAGCGGCAGCTCCGGGGCTGGGGGCAGGGCCCGGTGGGGCGGGCGCGCCGCGGGGCCGGGCCTCGGCGCCCCGGGGAGGGGACGAGGGGCGGGCGCGGGGCGGCGCCCGGCTCACGTGGGCGGGCGGGAGCAGCTGAAGGTCCGCTCAGGAGCCTGGGCTGTCCTCTCGCGCGCGGCGCTGGCCGGGGCGGCGGCGGCGGAGGAGGAGGAGGAGGACGAAGGCGGCGGTGGCGGCGGCAAAAGAGGAGGGAGGACGGGGGCGGCGTCGGACTGGAGCCGAGCGGCGGCGCGAGCTGCCCGGGGCGCTGTCGTGAGCTCGCCCGCCGGGCCCCCACCCCCGAGCTACACCCTGCCGTGCCCAGCACTGCCCGCGTCCGTGCCCCCGCGGGGAGCGCGCCGGGGCTGCCCCCCGAATGACGGGCGGAAGGTTCGACTTCGACGATGGCGGCACCTATTGCGGCGGCTGGGAGGAGGGCAAGGCGCACGGGCATGGCATCTGCACGGGGCCCAAGGGCCAGGGCGAGTACTCGGGCTCCTGGTCGCACGGCTTCGAGGTGGTCGGAGGCTACACCTGGCCCAGCGGCAACACCTACCAGGGATACTGGGCGCAGGGCAAGCGGCACGGGCTGGGGGTGGAGACGAAGGGCAAGTGGATGTACCGGGGGGAGTGGTCACATGGTTTCAAGGGGCGCTACGGGGTCCGGCAGAGCCTGTGCACCCCCGCTCGCTACGAGGGTACCTGGAGTAACGGGCTGCAGGACGGGTACGGCGTGGAGACCTACGGGGACGGAGGTGAGCGGCGTCGCAGGCGGCTCGGCCGCCCCGCGAGCTGGTGCGGTGGGCTGTGCCCAGCCTGCGGGGCAGCGGGGAGGACGCGAGGCGCACGTGTCCGGAAACCCGCCAAAACACCTGGGGAAGCTTCCCACCCGCCTCCCGCGCCCTTCCTCCCCCAGAGGGTGCGTTGGGACGGGGCTGGTGGCGCGAGGGTTTGAGCTGACCCCGTTCTCGAAGCGGGCGGCGTGTCCACACCCGGGGGAGCGAGGCGTGAATGTACCTGGCCGGCGCCAGCGCTGCGCTGCCACCAGGAGGGAGCGCCGCCCGCGAGGGCCGGGCTGGAGAGAGGACGCTGTCACTTGAGCCCGTCACATTACGTTCCTGATCCCTCCCTCTCCCGGCCGGGTTTGAAATCGCCACTCCGGAGGAGTTAGAGCGGACGCCCTGGGCTTGTGAGGCCGGCGGTCGGTGCTGACCGCTCCCCGGATTGGTTTCACGTGGAGTCGTATTTCGCCTCTGGTCCTCTGGTAGCCTAAAGATAGAAGCCAGAACCCCATAACTAGGATGTTGGGGAATTATGCCATATTTAGGGGTGCATTTGGAAACGTCCTAGTTATGGAAACGGAGAGGCCACCTGATGCAGGTGGGGTTCGGAGGGCGTGAGTTCCTAGTTTTCATTCGGTTCCTAAAAGTACTGGTTTTCGATCAAAAGAATAGCAAGTCTTTGCTGACCAGGAGACCTTTGTATAAATTATCAGGAAGATATTTTTGAAGTGGGCAATAATGTGTACATTTTTTTAAAACAATTGAAAGGTATGTTCCAGTAGCAGCTAAGTTAGTATCTACTGTACTGAGAATGGCAGTACTTAAACGCCAAATTTCATTAAGGTGTATGACCTACTAAACTATGCCTGGCTGTGAACAAAAATCACCTTATTTTAATATTTAACAATATTTGCAAAAGAAATTGTGTATATAAATAGGACAGAAGTTCCTTTTTTTAAATATATATTTATTAGGAAAAGTACACACCATTGAAACAGGTGTCAAAACTTGACCAAGTTCCTTGTATAATAAGCCGAATGATGAATGGCTTATGCTTTGGCAAAGTACATTTTCTGATAATAAACATAATCACATTTAATTGAAAAGGGTTGTGGGAGGCGATGTCACCTTTTGGAATAAAGCAGCTCAGAGTTGGAGGATATTAAAGGGATCCAATTAAAAGTTTCTCCAGCCCACTGCAACCCCAGTTATGCCATTGCTTATATAAAAGCTTATACAATTTGTACACTTCACTTACTCAGAACATTCCGGCTGTGTTTCAAATGCAAAACTGCAGAATGGTAGGACTTGCTAAAAAGGACATCTTTTCATCCTACAGTATAAATAAAAGATATGGTTCTCATGGAGTAAAAGAAAAAAAAAAACTTTAATACTTTTCTATGGGTTATGTGAATCCCAAGTTCCACAGTAGTTAATTAGAGCCCTTAAATGTTCTGGATGGGCATAAAGTGCCTTGGTTGACAGCCCCATAAATATGTTAGCTTGTGTGTGACCGGATTTTATTGGAAGCCGCAGCTCTACTATATAACTAAATTCCATGCTCAAAAGTGGAATGCATAATTTATTCTTTAAATATGTGCCTTATTTTATAACCTTTTAAGAAGGCCGTGGATAGTTCTCTCACTTCAGTTTTGTAAGGTTAAAAATAGTCTTTTAAAGTTACTAATTAAACAAACTCTCTTGGTTTAGAGTATTCATTATACCTAGTAATCAAAAATATATATAGCACGGTAAAGGCTGTCTATGTACATATTGTAGAAGCCCAAATAAATATCCAGAATGACTTTATGAATAATCTGCCCTCTGTTTTAAAACAAACTTTTAATTTAAAAAAGTTAAAATTTGGCATCACCATAGTACTGTGGTTTTCCTTTTCTACCCCCTCCAAAAAAAAAAAAATCTAATATGCTGCAACTAGGAAGGGGAAAAACTCTTAAAAATCACTGTTGAAAGTCTCTGCTACTCGATTTTCTGCTTTCTCTCATATGTTGCTTCAGTTCATTAGAAAGTCCTTAATCATAAAAGGGGAGTCTAAATGTGAATGTATTGTTATAACTTCATACAAAGGTTTTGGCCAAAATAGGAAAATCACTTTCCTTGTCTTCACTAAAGAGCTTGTTTGTATCCACTCTCTGTATCACCACATGTCCATTCCTGTACACCCTATATTGAATTCAAGGAAAATCTAATTCCATGTGTTTTGTGGTGACATTAAACTAGAGGAGAAAGGAAGTAGTAATTCCATATGAAAAGTATCACTTAATTTATTAGTGATTTGTGTGTGAATTGTTGTTGAAATAGAAACCCTCTGAATAAGTTAGTATCATAGTCATGAAGTCCAAGTCTAGGTATCCAGAAATTTTTGTGCAAATTCTGATCTGTACTTCTTTTTTTTACCTGTCATAAAACTATGGAAAACATCTGGGAGGACACAATGTTTTGTTAACTAGATGCATACCCATTCGTAGCATATAAACTTAAGTTTGGCATAGTGCAGTGCAAATTTGACTGAAACTCATTCCTAACTGGATGCCTTCCACTGCAAGATTGTATAGTTAAAATGGCTAGATCTAAAAAGCTAGCTCCCAAATGAACACAACTTAAAACTGGTAAAAAATAATTTTTATACTTGTGAAATACACATCTATATTTTAGGAATCGAGGAGCTAATTAGAACTTTATTTGAGCAGCAGGGAGAAGTTGGAACCCACCTGCTTCATAAAGAAATAGACCCTTTTTTTCTAGGTTCATTGACTAAACTAAACCTATTTTAAATTTCAGATGAACTACTAACAGTTTGACTGTAAATTGGTTTCTAGCAATTCCATGGAGGAATTTTTTCATACACTACGATTTAACAAAATGGGAGAGGAATGTGGCCAATGCTCTTGTCCCCCCCTTTCCCTATTTGACAGTTGAGCAGAGACTTAAACTTTCTAATTATTGCTGTTGCCTTAGACAGCTTGGATTTTCAAGCAGTACTTCTTTGGAAATTCTAAATACGAGTCTTATTTTTGGAAATATCAATTTAAGGAAACTAGCTGTTAATTTTCCATTAGTGTTAAATATTTACCAAGATGATATGGTTGTGTTTAAAAAGTGCAAATACTTATTGATATCAAACACCATCTCTGCAACTTGTTCTAGCAAAATTAAGTTGTCATTATATAGAAAAGTTAGAAGGATAAGATTATAGTGTTTATTTTACCAAAGGAAATATTAAAAGTAAGGTGGTTTATTTTAGTATGTGCAAGTCAAGTTGTATAACTTTTATCCTAGAATTTACATTGTATATGTATAGGCAAAGGAAAAGTCAAAAGTTGGAATTTCCTAATAATTCTATTCCCTTTCCTGTTGAGGTGGTATTATTTGGTGATGGCTAAAATTCAGTAGGACGCTTTTCAACCTGAAATGTTTTATATGACTATCTTATCCTCTTGGGTGAATCCTTTTGAGAAATCTGTGGTTCAGTTACCTCCTCAGAAGTTCATAGATGTCAGGTTAAGACTTCACATCTATCCAGAATATGACATTCACAGTACCAGACCCTCTTAGTATTTCACTATTGCCCTGCTATTGCCTATGTGATATAAATATGTCAGAATTAACAGAAAGAGAAGATAAGTCTTCAAACTGATCCAACTTTTGATTTGATAGTCATTATGGTTTTAACTTTTCAAATAATCAGTCCTCGTTAATACAGTTATATAAACCAACTAGCATTATTGTTCAGTATTTTAAGAATAAATGTATCACACAATAGAAATTTGTGCATGGAAATGTAAAATGCAATATGACTGGCAGGGTAGGTCTATATAATCAGAAATGGGAAAAGGTCAAGACAGAGTAATGATGTATTTTCTGTGACATTGTGAATTGTTATGAATAACAGAAGTAATTACATTTTAAAATTTCCAGATAGCTTCTTTTGAGGGATATTATAATTTAAAATTTGCCTTTAATGAAAGGAAATTGCCTTGATTTTGAAAAGAAACTTCTAAATTCCCTAATTTAACATTCATTTCCTCCTAAGATGATTTAAAAACCTATACCAGGTTATTTTTAAAATGTCTTTGCTGATTGAGTAGAATAACATATTGAGAATAAATGCTTTGGATTAGAGCTTATCGTATTCCCGAAAAGGCATAATATTTGTTGAAAAAGTAATTTGGTATCAACAAAGTGTTAATGGAAATTGTCAAATATACCTTTGTTCTGAGATGACGTCCAAAATGGTAAGAGTGGAATGTTTCATCTGGACTTATCTCAGTTTTTCTAGGGGTAGAGGTAGAGAGTGTACTCTTTTTAGCCACCATAGTTGTTTACTGTAAACACAGTCATCAAAGGCCCTCAATCCACAAACACCAATACCCACAGACCACAGGACACAAGAGCATGAGTTTGGGAATTTTGTGTTCTCTTATAAAGTAATCCCTCCTCTCAGGGTGCGTTTAGTCGGTAATGTGATTCACAGTGCAGTGGTGGAGGCTAGGAAATCTGTAAAGAGAGTGTAGACATTTGACAAGTAATGTGGCACAAGGCTTGACCTTTTCACTTGGAAGCACAAAAATGTTAAAGAAATCACTCACTTTTTCATTAATGGTTCACTATATGCAGTATATATATTGTTTTTGTCAAGTCGCTCTTGGCTCAAAAAGGTTCACCCAAATCTAAATTTCAATCCTAAATATTTTCCCTATCCTAAAAAAAAAAAAAGGTAAAATGAACATAGAGAACTTAAGACATTTGTTTGACCCATATCCCAAGTATTCAGATCACTGATAATTTTGTCTTTGTGCTTGTTGAAATGTTATACTGACATAGACCTAAAAGTCATTTTTAGAGTTTCTCAGCTAAATTAGTAAAATTAGAATAAAATTTGCAAATAGAATTCATCTTCTACAGTTGTACTGTCTTCCTAAGAGAGATTTCTGATGCGTTAATTTTGGGGGGGGGGAACGTTGTTTCCTAATGATTACTCTTTTTGTATTAGGAAAGTAGTAATTTTTATCTGAAACATTCATAAAAGTTTTTAAATGAAAAGCAAAAATTATCACAGACCATTGGGGAATTTTATACAATAGCGTTAAAACCTTAGACCCAAATTTACTGGGCGGGGATTCATTCACAGGTGGATGCAAAGTAATCCCCTAGGGTTGACTTGGGAATGTGTGGGGTTTGACCTTGGGCCTGCCTGCCCTGTGCTCTGCGAGGTGCACAGGCTGGTTGCAGGCGACCGCACCCCTTGTGCCCCCAACTCACGCTGTGCTTTCTTGCGGTCTCTCCAAGGTACCTACCAGGGCCAGTGGGCCGGAGGCATGCGGCACGGCTACGGCGTGCGCCAGAGCGTGCCCTACGGCATGGCCACGGTGATCCGTTCCCCGCTGCGCACCTCGCTGGCCTCGCTGCGCAGCGAGCAGAGCAACGGCAGCGTGCTCCACGACGCCGCGGCCGCCGCCGACAGCCCGGCCGGCACCCGCGGGGGCTTCGTGCTCAACTTCCACGCCGATGCCGAGCTCACGGGCAAGAAGAAGGGCGGCCTCTTCCGAAGGGGCTCGCTCCTCGGAAGCATGAAACTCCGCAAGTCCGAATCCAAGTCTTCCATCTCCAGCAAACGCAGCTCGGTCCGCAGCGACGCGGCCATGAGCAGAATCAGTTCCAGCGATGCCAACTCCACGATCAGCTTCGGCGACGTCGATTGTGATTTTTGCCCCGTGGAAGACCACGTGGACGCCACCACCACGGAAACCTACATGGGCGAGTGGAAGAACGACAAGCGCAATGGTTTTGGCGTTAGCGAGCGCTCCAATGGCATGAAGTACGAAGGCGAGTGGGCAAATAACAAGAGGCATGGGTATGGCTGTACCGTGTTTCCCGACGGCTCCAAGGAAGAGGGAAAATACAAAAATAATATTCTGGTCCGTGGAATAAGGAAGCAGCTTATACCAATAAGAAACACAAAAACTAGGGAGAAGGTGGACAGAGCAATTGAAGGCGCGCAAAGGGCAGCGGCCATGGCGAGAACCAAAGTGGAAATAGCAAACTCAAGGTATGTAAATATTGGGGCTTTGCTGGGTCGTTCAAAACAATGTAATATCAAAAGTTACGTCTAATCGGTCTGTTGGTGACATCACCAAATGGGTTCTCCAACTGCCAAAAAATCAAAGGTGGAAAATAAGCCTCATAGAATGAGAGTCAGAAATGTGCCTGTACTGTTCTGAAACTTTCTCTCATCAAAAAATGTTGAAGGCACACTGAGCCCCCCTTTCTGTTCTAAACCACTTTCCCTAAGCAACAACTTGGTGGTATTCTTTCTGACTATGTGCACATCTTCTTGAGTCCGGGAAGTTACATGTTTTAAAGAAGGACCTCTGAAACGCTGTCACGGAAGTGTCGTGTTTTGTGTCCCAGAAAGAAAGTGTCAATCCGACGTGGAAACATACCTAGTATAGAGGTCTACCTTTATTCTGATATTTAAGTTGGAGGTGTGTACCTCTCCCCCTATAAAATTCCTGATTTATAAAATTAAGGTTCTGCTTACTGAAATAGATGAAATTGGTTTTGAGACAGCCACCAAGATCTAGATATAGGATGCTTGGAGGTTAACATGACAAAATCTAGCATACAGTATTTGAAGCAACAGAGTTCGTCTACATGGGAAAGGCAAAGAGACTAAGGCTCACAAGAATCATCACATTCTATGCAGGAGAGATTAGATCATTGGTATATTAAAAGGAAAGGGGTGGAGGGAACCTGACATGGACAGATGGGAGTCTCAGTGTGCCAAGGTTGGAAGAAAGAAGAGCAGTGGAGAAGGGCTGGCATGAGTAGGAGAAAGCGGGTGAATAATAGATTGACAAGTGGGGTGTATGTGGGCATAGAAGGACTATGTGCTTAAAGTGTTACCGTTAAATAGCTGGTTTCAGGGATCCAGTAAGAGTAATAGAGAAATCTATTAGGAATGGATTTCATAGGTTAGACAAAAAGGAAAAAGAGCTGGTTATAAATGGTAAATTTTATTTTTAGGCTTAAGTGGGTACTGACTGGCCATAGTTTTGTGTGACCTGAGGCATAAATTTAGCATAGAATATTAAAAATCCTGTTCCTACTTCAGTAATACTCTTCTATAGAAGTAAACCTCCTTTTGAAACCACAAAATATTAGCATCTCTCCAGGCTTTTGTCTTTGTATTGAATTAACAAGCTCCACTTTTTTTGTTGAGCCATATGAAACTTCTGATATTTGAAGTTTCTAAATGTCCCCAAAAAAAAAAAAAGGCCGTTTCCTATGGTTCAGCTGAATACTTCCAGACTTCTAGAGTTCTTTTTATTATGCCCCTCTTAAGAAAAATAATGTAAATAGGGCTACTAAATAAAAGAGATCACATTTTTTGCATTGTTTTTAGATACATATTATGTTAAAAGTCCTCAAAGTTTTCATCTTTTCCCCAAACTAATCCTATTTTAAAGTTAATATTTATTAATAAACACAAACTTTCATGAAGAGTCTCTTTCTCTCTCCTGTCTTCCCTACCAAGCATCTTTTATTTTAGATCATAGTGTTTGCTGATCACCAAGCATTGGATCTACTTTGCTTTTCAGCTTGCTTGTAGATAGGGTACTTGGCACAGCTAATCTTGCTGGCTGGCTTTTACAGCTAGTGATATACCTTTTGTTAGGCCCTAGCCTCTAGTTTTAAATGCATGCTTGGATTCTTCCATTTTATTTTCATCCTATAACTTACTGATACATTAGAGGCAGATGAGTTCAGTCTTGGCAGATGAAAAATAAACCTGTGCAGAACACTCTAACAAATGATTTATTCTAATTACTGACTTTTGTGATTAGTTTACATTGGCGGAATCTACATAATGGAAAGGGACTTATTGATGCAAAGATGGTCTGTGATTATACTAGTGCCATAACACTCTTATCCAAGTTCTAGCCATGTTCTCTCTGTTGAAGAAGTCTTTTGAAGGTAGTAGTATGTAGTTTGGGAGTACTATATCATATAGTTATAATCAAGAAATATTTAGCTTAAGACCATATATTTTTAGCCACTTAACTACTTCATAAAGATTTCACTAAGATATTTTTTAAAAACATTCAATTTGTTATGCTAAGTGAAATAAGCCAGTCATTGAAAAACAAATATTGTATGAGCCCACTTAGATGACTTACCTAAAATGGTCAAACTCATAGAAACAAAGAGTAAAATGGCGGCGGTGGCCAGGAGCTGGAGGGAGGGTGAAATGGGGAGTTGCCATTCAACAGGTATAAAGTTTCGGTTATACAAGATGAATAAGGTCTAGAGATCTGCCGCACAACACTGTGCCCATAGTTAACAATACTGTCCTGTGCGTTTAAAAATTTGTTAATGGCTCATGCCTGTAATCCTAGCACTCTGGGAGGCCAAGGCGGGTGGATCGCTCGAGGTCAGGAGTTCGAAACCGGCCTGAGCAAGAGCGAGACCCCGTCTCTACTATAAATAGAAATTAATTGGCCAACTAATATATAGAGAAAAAAATTAGCCGGGCATGGTGGCACATGCCTGCAGTCCTAGCTACTCGGGAGGCTGAGGCAGTAGGATCGCTTGAGCCCAGGAGTTTGAGGTTGCTGTGAGTTAGGCTGACGGACGGCACTCACTCTAGCCTGGGCAACAGAGTGAGACTCTGTCTAAAAAAAAAAAATTTTGTTAAGAGTAGTTCTCGTGCTATGTGTTACCGCAATAAAAAATTAACAGTTTGGATGTCACAATAGACAAATTACAAATAAAAAAATATATTAACCTTTTATATTTTACTTACTTTCACTGTTTTAGTTCCCTTTCCAGATTCCTTGATACAATGAGTACTTCAGATATAGAGCTTTGCAGTTTGTTTTTAGAGAAAATAACTGAAAGACTGACATTCCCTTAATAGTAGTTTTGAGTTTAGAGTTCACAGTCTTTCAGAAACTTTTTCAAAAAACAAATAGAGGAAAAGATCTTATTAAGGTTTTAGAGATTGCCACCGAGAAAGCACTTCTAGTTATGTTGTTGTCATAAACTGTGGTTCTTTATAACACCAGAGTATCCGCACAGTCCTTCCTGGCCCTTTACACTTGCTGTTATTAATGTTTGAAAAATATTATTGGCCAGGTGTGGTGGCGCATGCCTGTAGTCCCAGCTACTTGGGTGGCTGAGGCACGAGGATCTCTTGAGCCCAGGAGTTTGAGGTTGCTGTGAGCTAGGCTGACACTGCTGTACGCTAGCCTGGGAAACACAGCGAGACTCTGTCTCAAAAATAAATAAATAAAAATTTTAAAATATTGAAAATTTAAGAATATACAGTGAGACTGCTCCCGCACACCAGTCCAGTAATGGCGAGTAAGAACTAGAAACTGAGACTCCTGGCAGCTGGCTGCTGTCAACAAAGGGAGATGATCATTAATAGGTATCAACCATTCAGTTTGTCCACCCAGTCACTGTTCTTCTCTGTTATTTCTTTGCTTTAGAGACTTTTGTTTAAGTTCCAGAGAAATGGACCTGCCTTTCTACTATCACCCTGTTTTATTTTAGAACAGTCTCAAGTTGGCTCTGAGGGAAAATAATTGTATCATCCAATAATGTCTCCAGGAGACACAGAACCAATCTTTTGTCCCAAGATTCCAGAAAATGCAGTAGATCTGTGGACCTTTGCTTTGTTTCTCTGAAGAGGGAGTGGCATTGTTCCCCAGTAAACACACAGGAAGCTTGTTTTGAAAAGCTTATTATGGGCCCCTATTTAATTCTGATAGGTCAGGGAACAGAGGGGTGACATAATAGTTAATAACACAGATAGTTCATTAGCAGCTTAGCACTTAAAGAGTCAAGACCTTAAGAGCAGCTAATAATTTACTCCTAGAATTTTTTTTAGATCTCTGCTCTGATCAAAAAAGTACTATAGGGGCCGGGCGCGGTGGCTCACGCCTGTAATCTAGCACTCTGGGAGGCAGGCGGGCGGATTGCTCTAGGTCAGGAGTTCGAAACCAGCCTGAGCAAGAGCGAGACCCGTCTCTCTATAAATAGAAAAAAATTAATTGGCCAACTAATAATATATGAAAATTAGCCGGGCATGGTGGCACATGCCTGTAGTCCAGCTACTCGGGAGGCTGAGGCAGGAGATTGCTTGAGCCAAGTTAGCTTGTCGTGCTGCTGGCCTGGCCTTCAGGGCCAACACAACTTGTCTTCAAACAAACACCAAAAAAAAATTCATTTACTATATAATCTATAGTATCATATAATATACTCTTTTATAGTAAAAGTACTATATTATAATGTACTATATTACTTATATAAAAGTATATATATAATCTATTTATTTAGATTTAGCAAGATTTTTTTCCTTTTGTCTGTGTCCTGAGGGTAAAAATTCATCTGGGATTGAGAAAGGTCTCAACCTTGTTAAGAATGCAGAAGAGGCAGGAGAAGCAACTCTGCATATTCAAAGAAATAAGCATACCTAGCAGTTGTGGAGGCAACTTCATGCAGTGACTGACGGCATACTGTTTCTAGTCCTGGAATCCCAGCCACTCTGCTTTGTAGACGCAGACGTTACTCTGACTGACCGATGTTGGGATTGGGGAGAACCCAGTACCAAGCCAGGCCTCATGGTCTTTCCTGCATCACTCTTTACCCTGGGTAGAAACTTAGCCAATCAGACCCTCTTTTGAGTCCCAGGAATGAATGCTAGGTAGAGACATATAACTAGAATGCCCCTCCTCATACGCTGAATTTACTTTTCCAGAAAATGTTATATAATAGGCAGAATCTGCTTTGTTAGAGAATATTAAAGGTCCCCAATCTCAGATCTGGAAGGGCCACAGGACAACATCTGGTCCAGGCCCCTCACACCCAGAGGCAGAGACTGAGGTCCTGCCCAAGGTCGCCCTGCTGTCTCTCTGGTTTTTATTCTGTTTCTTAGTTGTTCACTTTTTGTTCCTTTAGCTCTTGCCTCCAGTAATTTCTTCAGTCTCTGTCATTTCAGTTATATTTCTCACTTGGTCAATTTTTACTCCGTTGACTCTTGTC